AAATTGAGTGACCTATCCACCATTGTCATCAGCTAGTAACTATCTCACTGCAGGCCCCGTTGAATTCCACTGGTCACTACTTCTCACTAGAACTCCAGGATATACATCTTGAAGCCAGTCATAGTGAGCATATTTTGATTAGTATCAGAAGAGGGATTGGATCATGATCTCAACTAATGAAAATTAGAATTATTTTTTAGTTCATTAGGTCATGTAAATGAAGATTGCTTCACTAGTTCTTAGGATATATTATTATGAACTTATGGATTCATGTATTCTTAGTCTGTGAACATAGCGCATTATAAATGGCAACATGTTATGTACTTTATAACACCCATGACATCGACTGAATAGGAATGTCACGTTGCACTGACTTTTCAGCATAGTGTGAGAAGAGAAACCAAGAAGAGGGACTCTATAACTGAAATAATCACGGCCATTCCTAGTTTTGTTTTGAAGTAAGATGTCACAAACTCCGCCTGGAGTCCCTTTCCAGGGGCTACTGCCGGTCCCAAGCCCGGATAAAGGAGGAGGGTTGGGCATGGGGTTAGCGACCCCATCCCGTAGAAAACTAACTCGCTAAAAAAACGCTAACCAGGAAAAATTATTCAAACCATTTAAACTCTGCCCCGGGAGTCAGGAGGTCTTCGTTTAGAAGAATTATGACGCCTCATGATGAAAGCCGAGTTTCTTCGGAAGTCACGAGGCCGATGCCCCTTCTGACAATCCGAGCAACCATTTATTTAGATACATGGAATGCTCGCACAATGTGGGAGACTGGGAGAGTTTTTCAAATTGCTGCAGAAATGAGGAGATACAATTTCGAGGTGCTTGGGATCAGTGAAACACATTGGACGCAAGTTGGACAACAACGACTAGTTTCAGGGGAGCTTCCGTTATACTCCTGACATGAACAAGAAAATGCCCCACATACACAAGGAGTTGCATTGATGCTGTCCAAACAAGCACGAAATGCACTTATAGGACGGGAGTCTCATGGACCAAGGATCATCAAAGCCTCCTTCAAAACCAAGAAAACGGGGATTACAATGAACGTCATTCAATGCTTTGTGCCTACCAACGGCTACAATGGGGACGCTGAAGATCAATTCTACGATAGGCTGCAGTCAATCGTCGAGAAGTGCCCAACAAAGGACCTGACTATTCTGATGGGAGACCTAAATGCCAAGGTTGGAATTGACAACACCGGATATGAAGAGATCATGGGACGACACGGACTGGGAGAAAAGAACGAAAATGGTGAGAGATTTGCAAATCTATCTGCCTTCAATAAACTGGTCATAGGCGTAACTATATTCCCACATAAACGCAAACACAAAACCACATGGACTTCACCGGATCACAGCACACAGAACCAAATCGACCATATCTGCATCAACAAAAAGTTCAGGAGGACGATGGAGGACGTGAGAACAAAGAGAGGAGCTGATATAGCATCAGATCATCACTTGCTGGTCGCCAAGATGAAATTGAAACTCAAGAGGCACTGGACAACGGGGAGGACAATATCACAAAAATTTAATACGGCTCTTCTTCGGGATACTGACAAACTCAATAAATTCAAGATAACCCTCAGCAATAAGTTCCAGACCATTCATGATCTACTCAATGGAGAAGGAACTACTATGGAGAGCAACTGGAACGAGATAAAAGAGGCAATCACTTCAACATGTCATGAGGTTCTGGGCCAAAAGAAGCACCATCACAAGGATTGGATCACGGTCGATACACTGGATAAGATTCAAGAAAGGAGGAACAAGAAAGCAGCAATCAATACCAGTCGAACAAGAGCAGAAAAAGTCAAGACACAGGCTGAATACACAGAAGTAAACAAGCAAGTGAAAAGGGGCATCAGAACTGGCAAACGTAAATATGTGGAAGATTTGGCATTGACGGCGGAAAAGGCTGCGAGAGAAGGAAACATGAAACAACTGTATGAAACAACAAAGAAACTCTCTGGAAATCACCGTAAACCAGAACGACCAGTGAAAAGCAAGGAAGGCAAGATAATCACGAACATTGAAGAACAACGAAACAGGTGGGTAGAACACTTCAAAGAACTCTTGAATCGACCAGCCCCACTGAACCCACCCAACATCGATGTAGCACTCACGGACCTCCCAATTGATGTTGGCGCACCGACAATTGAAGAAATCAGCATGGCTATCAGACAAAACAAGAGTGGCAAAGCATCAGGACTAGACAGCATTCCAGCAGAGGCACTGAAAGCAGACGTAGCGGCAACTGCAAGGATACTCCAAACTCTCTTCAAAAAGATCTGGGATGAGAAACAGGTACCAAAAGACTGGAAAGAAGGACTTCTAGTCAAAATACCAAAGAAAGGCGATCTCAGCAACTGTGACAACTACAGGGGAATCACTCTTCTTTCAATACCAGGAAAAGTCTTCAACAGGGTATTGTTAAACAGGATGAAGGACACCGTAGACGCACAACTTCGAGACCAACAGGCAGGATTCCGTAAGGATAGATCGTGCACAGACCAAATCGCAACTCTACGGATCATTGTGGAACAATCAATTGAATGGAATTCATCACTCTATATCAACTTCATCGACTACGAAAAAGCATTTGATAGCGTGGACAGAACAACCCTATGGAAGCTTCTTCGACACTACGGCGTGCCTCAGAAGATAGTCAATATCATACAGAATTCCTATGATGGATTGAACTGCAAGATCGTTCATGGAGGACAGTTGACAAAGTCGTTCGAAGTAAAGACCGGTGTCAGGCAAGGTTGCTTACTCTCACTCTTTCTCTTTCTCCTGGTGATCGACTGGATCATGAAGACATCAACATCTGAAGGAAACTACGGGATACAGTGGATAGCTAGGATGCAATTGGATGATCTAGACTTCGCAGATGATCTGGCTCTTCTATCGCATACGCAACAACAAATGCAGGAGAAGACAACCAGTGTAGCTGCAGCCTCAGCAGCAATAGGTCTCAATATACACAAAGGGCGCGGAAACCTGGAAAACTACGAAATCCATCGTCCAAAAGATACAGATGTTTATTAACAGTTGTCTACGCAAAATACTTCAGATCCGTTGGCCGGACACTATAAGCAACAACCTACTGTGGGAGAGAACAAGTCAGATCCCAGTGGAGGAAGAAATCAGGAAGAAGCGCTGGAAGTGGATAGGACACACATTGAGGAAAGCACCGAACTGCGTCACAAGACAAGCCCTCATATGGAATCCCAAGGTCGAAGGAAGAGAGGAAGACCAAAGAATACATTACGCCGAGAAATGGAGATAGATATGAGAAGAATGAACAAGAATTGGATGGAACTAGAAAAGAAGGCCCAGGACAGAGTGGGTTGGAGAATGCTGGTCGGCGGCCTATGCTCCATTGGGAGTAACAGGCGTAAGTAAAAAGTAAGTAAGTAAAAGTAAGATGTCACAGACGAACCATTCGCGAATTCTCAGTCATAAACTTGGGTAATACATCTATCATCGTGACAAATATAATAACATAAGAAAGAGGCACTGATCGGTATGACAAAATAGAACACCTAGGTTTATAATCAGTGTGTTGGACAGATGAAATAGATGTCGTCCAGGTTCACCAAACTTAAAAATGATGTATCTGACTCCCCTGATTTACTCGGAGGCATTTTTCAATTTTGGTCGCAAACAAAAATTTGTGGTAAGTATAGAACCAAACCGATAAACAGCAGACGATATCCGGAGAACTAGCCAATAAGTAAGAAAATACAATATATTGAATATAAAACTTGTTCCAGAAATGAGATGTTGGGTTTCAGAATAACGAAACTAAATCTAAGAATTAGAATACACGACTTCACAAATTTTGAAGGTATAATAAAATGTATAAGCAAGCATTAGAAAACATAATACTATTTTGACAAGTTCGTTAACCGTGTATCCTCCACTAGTTTCGTTTTCTGATATCAGTGTGATCACCGACAAGTCCTAACAGCAAGTAAGTCGTTAGCTTGTAAGCGCTGAGAACATTGCAGTGACAGTAATTAAATCAAAATACTCTGTTAGTTTTCTCAATTGTAATAAGCACTTGAAAAAGACAATCGAAACCAAAGCCACTAAAGTAAATGATTTTTCGGAGTTAAAAATCTTATCACCAGCAACATTACGACTGACTTGGTAGTAGAACACAGTCAACCCTAAACCACAAAACCTAAGGAGCTAGCTTTGACCGTGAACGAAGTTTGGGAGAGCTGCCTTTAAGAAGTCTCAAACAAGGGTCTGGGGCCCCTGGTTTAGGGAATCTTTTCAGTAAGTGCCACCCCACGACAGCGGAAAACACAAATAAACTCTTCCTCTTTAAATATGTTGGATTAATTATACGTGCTAACTACACCTAATAGTCCATCTCAAAACTAGTCCCAACCAAAAATATCAGGACATATCTCCTGTTATAATTACATCTATAATATCTGAATCACATTGTAAACCGGGGCTTTTATCCTGAACACGTTTTCAAGTTTGGATCTAAGATTGTGTATTCTGTGGTGAACATACTTGTACCAAACTTTGTGAATGCCTGTTGAAAAGTCCAAATCGTCCCAAGCCCTTAAAGTGTAACCATACGAAAGTGAGCCGTGGTCATAGGATCATGGTTCCCTGTTACTTCTAGATCATTGTGAGACCAGATTGAAGGCACCGAGACCTTTATATTTTTATAAACATTTGCGTTTATATCTCCAGTGTGCGTGTAGAAACATCTTACTGCGTTGATGGGCATCAAATAAATTCTGGACTAGTTAACTAGAACGTCTAATTCAGCCTTAAATGGACTTGTATTTTCATCTGTTATCTCTCAACAAATTTTGACGTCATCAGCATAAAAAAGGATCCGAGACCGAACGATCTTCGCTGAAAGTTGCAGCTGCAGTATCAAGCACTCATTCAGTAGAAAGTGATCGAAAGTGCGCAATAGGACAAACTCATTGAACATTTTAAAACATTGTGAACGTATTGCTGTTCAAAATTGGGGTCACATGGGTTTGAGTTGTTGATTGGCTGACGTCAAGGTCGCTTCTAAGTCCATCTGCCTGCGATTAAGTAGCTAATTAATCATTAAAGTTTTATCACTGTCATGTCGATGGAGTAAGTATTTTCGTTTGTAGCTAATATTCTTACTATCTGCGCTTATATTACACTCACATGTGAACGATCAGCGTCTGTTAAATATTTTAGGCTGGACTTTGCACGCGTTTTATTTCAGATTCACTAATCAGTCGACATTTTTAAGTCGTTGTAGACAGAATCAAATAATTTCATCATGGAGAATTTTGAAGATCTTAGTATTTTTCACAGCTAAATTCACTAGTCGATCTAAGCTAAACCACCATTGAATAATTTCGCTTGACATGCTTCCGTATTTTGTGGTAGTAGATCATTGATGCCTCTAACGTATATAAATACAACTCAAGATTAAAGTATTAGTAAATAATCTCCAGGGAAGTATCAGATTTTCTCAGATATTTTGCGGAGTTACTTGGACCACTTTGAACAGTAGGGAATTGTAAGTTACGAGCATGCTTAAAGTTCAACCCATGCTTGGCTCCCAGCTTGTTGTTAGGACTAAAGCTAAATGTGTCTCAAAAGGTTACCTTCAGTGTCCTTAAGGTTATAAGTCATTAAGTTACTCTTAAGTTTCCTATATCCTGAGTCATTTTGATTCAGTTCTTTCAATCAGTGCTTGAAGTCACTAAATTCTAGTCTGAGCCATGTTGGTAGATGCAAACTACTTGGTTGGGGTCCGCGTGACTATCGTAACCAATGGTTGGAGACTGTGTGACGTCCTAGAATCAATCACAATGGCATAGGTGTATACACTTTTTCTTCCTTTAAACTATGAGATTAGAATCGCTTCATATCTTTCTTTTTACGAACTAATTCTCTCTTCCTTTACTATTTCCTTATATGCAATCTTTCTTTTATTTATTTCCACCACTGAATTAACTGCTTCTATGAATTTGGTGTTCATCTTGTTGTGCTAATGAGGTATGTCGACTTGGACCGATGCACATATGTGCCTGAGACCACGAACTGCTTTTGTGATTCGTCTCCGAACTTGTTTTCAATACACTGTTCTTATCCTCTTTACATTAGTAGGAACGACTGTCCGTATACTTAGTGGAGGATGGGAATTCCTACCGTCAAGCTAGTTAAAAATGCATTTTGGAGTTACTTGTATAATGTCGACTCAAAAGACAATTTCATTACACCTGACACGTAGTTTCGCATCATAGCGGGTCAATACATATAAATCTTTCGTCACTAATGACAATAACTGTTCAAACTGTATGTGTTTTCTGAATCGTGTTGCACACAGACCAGTTTACACTTTTCAGAATTAAAAGTTGATCCGTTGTTCAGCTAACTTTGTGGTCGAGTTTGAATTAACTTGCTCTTCTGGGTGTGTAGTTCTCTCTGAAGTTTTAAATCGACAAAAGGTATCTCAGAGGGTCGTTCATGTAAATTAACAGAGCAGAACCCCTAACATCTAACCTCACTAGGATATTCTACAACTCGAAAATTAGTAATAATTATTTTTGTCCAGTTATCCATCGCTCCCATCCAACCTAATTCAACTGTAGTCCTTTCTGAAACCATGCGGTTGGTCTGTAAAAAAATTTTTTTAAGTAGATAGTTGCCTGGCCATCATGGATCAAAGATTCCATAACCTTAGTGAGTACTGGGAAAGTATTTTTCTTCATATCCTGTGGTTTATGATGCAAAAGTACTAACTAACCATTACCTAGACTATTCTTGGTGTGAGTTACGGGTTAGCTCTGGTGTGTCAATTTCATTGGTTGTTGAGTCATTAGAACCTAATACTTGGGTGACACAGGGTCTGGCTTATTGGAAAAAACATTAAACAGGCCTTTTGGGTTAGAGGTAGATCTGTCAATTAGCTTAACACGGTACTTGTCTCTCTTTCCTTACTGTACATTTAATTCGTTTCAACGAGGATCAATTAAGAATAACATAGTGAAGTAAGAAAACCTGATTTACAAAATTTCTAATGGTCGCTTTATTTTTTCTGACATACACTTGCCATTATACTCACACCGTATTTAACGGTTTTGTATGGCAACTCGTGATGTACGTTTGTTCCAGGCTGCATGTCAATCATGACTGGCTAGAATAACTCAAGCTGTTAGTCCGTTTCTGTATAGAGTTTTAATATGTTTTGATCCTATGTGTTTTTTGTCACTTGTCAACCACTTTTGTATATTGAGCCCAACATATATAAGACCAAAGAGAGATACCCTGTTAGCTTCATGTTATTTATTTATTTATTTTAATACATAGGTATTGGTACAAGGAGGTACCAAATACATATGCGCCACACGAATCTCAATTGATTTGTGTGACGGCTGTGATACTGCCCGGGTGCCCAAACTGAAGCAGGTGATTTTCTTAGGGGGCCACACCCCGAGCCTTCGACCTGAAGATCTGATCCACAAGGCAGTGGAGCATCGTAAGGAGATGCAGTCCCATGGTAGCCGGTGACCAACGATTGGTTCATACGCCATTTGTTCCTTCAGGATACTGGAGCCCATGTGCACCATTGATTTGGAATCCGGTTAAAGCGCCGGAAATTCGCTTTTCGTCCTCTTATTTTCGTAAACATTACCCGTGCCACGAGAAGGCAGTGATTGGGACTTCCCTGGCAGAGGCTATATACGCGTGGCCATGTGAGAGCATTTCGAGAGGGAGAGCGGACTCTCTCCACTCTCGGCCGTACCAGGGCATTTGGGGGCTCTTACAGATGGTTAATAATGTTGTAAATACGTATGCTTACAAATCCACTGCTTCATCAAACCACATACAACACTTATGCAGTGCACTGGTCAGCCTTATTTTACAAAGTTAATGGCAAATTAACCTTGCCGGGTTTAGTACCAGTCAGTCATACGCAACTTGGAACCTGGCACATGTGTACATCGGTGCAAGTTGTCTTACACCATCAGCACGAGATGAAATTATTAGGACAAATTCCAGAATAGTAAATGTGTTAGCAGTGATAGTAATAATATAAAGAATTAAGTATCGGAAATACAATTCAAGAAGGAAATGTAAATTCGTAAAATAGAAAACAATGTACAAAGAACTTAGTATCTAAGGTAGGATAAAAATTATATGCATTGCAAACGATTTCGAGCCATGTCACTTAAAGCCTGAAACTATTTGTTGTGATAATCATGCGGGTCCTAACCAAGTAGTCTTCACCCACCGACTTGGTTCAGTCCAATAGTCAGTGTTTTCATGGACCCATATATGTTTTTCTTTGGCCACCCCTAACTTTCTTCTAACCTACTACACCTGCACCAGACGTCATCGCACTCTAAGGTAGTAGGTGAATGTGGATCTGCATTTGCTAATTCCATGGTCCCAAAATAAGAGCAATAGTTCGAGAACATCCGTGATCAAATACTAGTATCCGTTATTCTTAAAAACTACTTTCTAGTCATAAGCTAGAACAAAGCAAAGTACTACACAGTAAAATCTTCCTTTAGTTGACAGATGAGTACCTCCATAACTCCACCAGTGACGCAAGTTAGCATAAGCCAGTCGAGTTTTCTGCATATACGCCGATACTTCGTCAGACATCAACCCACCAAGGCTAATGAGACTTCCAAGATAAATCAAGTGATCGTCTCGTTCAATCACTTCACTCCTTATCGAAAGTTGATGCGATGACTCAGACCAATCCTGAATCAACATTTTGCATTTAGATAGAGGGAAACATCTGAAACATACCAGCTCTGTTGCTCAGTTGTATTTTTCAGGGTCTTCATCAAGCAAAAATCATCTACATATTCTAAGTCAATAAAATCATCACTTGGTAAAATATAAATTTCTGATAAATCAGATGATGGTCGCCTCCTCTAAAAGAATGTCCGCGGTGAAGATAAAAAGGGAGGAAGCAAACAACCCTGACTAACGCAACTTAAACTTAACTCCGATGGCAGTTCGCAATAATCTCTGACCATCAGTAATGTTTAAGTAAAGAGCCTGTACATGGTTAATATACTTGGCAGACCTTTCAGTGACACAAGAAGCCTGTCAGTCTACCGAGTCCAACGACACCTTTTAATCGAGAAATACAACCATGGTTGGTAGTTGGTAGGTATGTACGTGTTCACAAACCTAGCGAATGGCTAATATTTAGCCTATAGATCCGCGTCCAGGTCTGAAACCAGCCTGATTTTCCCGAGTACACTTTTCGTTACCTGTAGTTAAGCGTTGGACGATTATCGAGGCTAAGACTTTAGATTCTATATTAACGAAGATAGTTCCTCTGTGGTTATCTTGAGAACTTTGTGCTTTCCTATAAACTAGAACAACCACAGATCATGACCAGTAAGATGGGATTACCTCTAGTCCTTAGACTCTAGCTAGTATCTCAATCTAACAGCTAAAACGACTACCATCCTTAAAGATCTCAAGGTTTAATTTATTAGGGCTTGTTGTTCTTCTCTCTAGATCAGCCCGTGGCATTTTGTACTTCATTAAAGGTCGATGTACATCCTATTTAGGTTACTTGATAATAGTAAGCAACTGAAGGGTAGTTGGGGAACAGTTCAACTGTTCAGTGTTCCACCTGTCGTTCCAGACTACTCTGTTGAGGGCGGTTCGTGGTCTCATCCTTTTAAGAAGTAGTCTTAAATTTTTAGTGCCTGGAAAGTTGTCTGCTGTTAACTATCGCCACCACTTTTTCCAGTTTTTTTGTCTTAGCTGCCTATCGCTGCTCACGATCATTATGTAGACTTTCTAAATGTACGTTAAAGTTTAATCTTCTCCTCATCATGTTCGTACTACAACTGAATGAGTTTCCAAGCATCAGGTCATTAGAAGCTACTGAATTCCACTAATTTTCTCTAGCATTTTGTTTGCAGTCATTCGTGGATTTCATTGCTATTTCCACCTCTGTCCGAGTATCATCTCAACCCTATTATTGAAATACCTGGGAAGAAAACTGTTAATGGAGTGTTTATGAAGACCTGGGAGCGTAAACTCAAAGTCAAAGGCATGATTACTTGTAACCGGTCACAAATGGCGTTTCTGTGAAAATTTTGTAATGTGTCAGCTCCGTGCTTCAAAAAGCCTTACATCTGGAGATTAAAATCTATGTGTGACTCGGTCTTCCTCTTTTCCTTTGAGGATCCCAAGTTGGGGCTTGTTTTGTGCTGCAGTTTGTTGGTTTTCGCAATATGTCCTATCCACCCTAGCGTTTTTTCCCCAATTTCTCTTCATCTGGAGGTTGGTTCGTTCATTTCTTCACTATTCTATTTGAATTTCTCCATAATTACCCTTCAGCTTATTTTCTCTCATTTTATTTGTTAATTTGTTTGTTCCAGAGACTCAAGTTTTGAAGATGAATCTGGTGATGAACATGATGGTTATGATCCTGTTCGCAGTCGGATAGTGGATAGTCGAAATTTAGCATATAAACCTAGATATGTTCCTTCTGAAGCTGATGAAGTAAGTTATAAATATGCCAAATGATCATTTTTAGAATTCGGGCTCTGACGATCTAAGTGATGATCTGGAAGACCATTTATCCTATTCTCATAATCCTCCACGTTCTCCAGTTGATTCTTCGAGTGAGCATTCGATCGTTAAATCTGAACAAAATCATTTTTCGGAGAATCTGGATTACGATAAGGAATATCACGTTGAACCGGTTGTGGATGTCACTACCCCAGGTTATGCTCCAAGTCAAGCTTTAACTCCCGAATCCAGCCCTGCTCTGAGTTATTCCGGTAGTGAACATGCATCAGATGTAAATCTGACTAGGAAAACTGACCCAAATATTTCTAGTGAAGTGCATCAGGAAGATGAAGTCGAACACGAGAGCAACAGTGACTCAGAGTCTGTAAGCGAAAAAGACCAGGAAGAGTTTCATCAACAGGAAGTCGATAAAACTCCTCAAGTGAATTCTGTAGAGAAATATCCCACAACCAAGCATAATTCTCCTATCGAATCACTTCAGTATAATGATTTCCCTGACATTTTTGATGATCATGATGATGATCAAGATCAAGGCAAATTCAATGAAGATTTCGAAGGTTTTGAGAGAGATGAACAACCAGAATCTCAAGTGGATGGCATCATAGCAGATATATTTGGCGAAAGTGATGCAGAAGAAGAATTTGAAGGCTTCGCCGAGAATGAACTGGACAAAGGTATTGAAGAGGAGGTTGAAGTTCAAACATCTAGTGAGTTAGTAACAAAAAAAGGTCCCCTTACGACAGCTGGAGAAAACGAAGGGGATGAAGAGTCTGAACATGATGATGAGTTCGTTTCTGACTTCGACCGGATAATGGAGAAAAAGAAAGAAGAATCACGACGAAGGCGTAGACGTAATAGGGATATTGAATTCCTTAATGATAGTGATGATTTGATTGTTGAAACCATTTCTCGAATGAAAAGTGCTGCTGATGAAGACCGACAGTTACTTACAGCTAGTCGACCAGCGACTAAGAAACTGAACATGCTCAAAGAAGTATTAGCTATCCTTAGGCGAGCTGACCTGAAATCCGCCCTAATAGAAAATGGGATGCTTTCTGCTATAACTGAGTGGCTATCCCCTTTACCTGGCCATACACTCCCGAATCTCGTTATTCGTGACTCTATGTTGACTAGTCTCAGTGAGTTTCAGTCACTGTCATCTGAAGTTCTTCAAGAATCCGGTATCGGAAAAGCCTTGATGTATTTGTACAAACACCCGAGAGAAACTCGAGAAAACAAGGATAGAGCTGGAAGACTTATTAGTGAGTAGTTTTGTTAAAAGTTCATGAATATCTTAAACTCCAGTTATTTATCTGCAGTTGCATTGAGTTACAGCAACATTGTGTGCTACTCATTATACAAATCTGAATGGTTTTTTTATGCGTAGTATCCTTTTGCCCGTGTTTTGGCAATGTCGCCCGAACCACTCAACCACAGCTAATTAAATGCCCGTTAAATAAGAGCTCAACGTTTTCTAAACAGGCTAAAGATTCACAAAACTAGTGCAACATATTCATGACATGATAAATAGAATGAAACCAACAATCAGATTACATGTTTTTACCTTGTCGGAACAATAGGGTAATATCACTGACCTTTACAAAAACCCTAATTTCAAACACCAGTACAAAATCGATTGTTTGGTCGCATTGCATCCTCCCGGGAATATACTGATTCGCCAAGACTAAAAGAATGCGAAGTTAGCGACGAGAATATATTATAGGGCTAGCACAACTTAATACTCACATTAGAAGTTAAAATTAGGTGGGAGTTGTGTATACACACCCTGAATAGCATCTGGTCTTCATGTATAAATGACTTGGTGTTGACCATATGGTGTAAAAAGCTAACTTTATTTAGTTGTCAAATCATAAAAGGTTACAACTACTAAACCCGGCTTGAAATGTTACTGTGACGAAGGAGGGTGAATTGGTAATTTCTACTCTTGCAACAGCCTCAAATCCTAAGCAAATAAATTTCTTAAAAAAGAATCAGTAGCCGACAAAATGAATGTGAGAATATCTGTTTGGATATTATCATTATTACTATTATTACTCATATGTTTGATATTCAACTAAAATGGTGCTACTGTGAGACACCGGTATGTTAACAAATGAAAATAAAGTTCACAAAATTAATGATGACTATGCACTTCTGCCTGCTGTAAAAACCTTACATGAAGAAAACTTTTCATTGGAAAACAGCCTTTACACTAAGTGTAGTCAGTGGCATGGACATCATTGTGAGTTACTACTTAGTAGCGAAACATCACGAAAGGAGGGTAAATATAGCACTGGTTTGTACTTTATGTCATGTAGTTTTTGTAGCTAATCACGATACCTCCCTTGATGTTGATCTTTGAACTTTGTCTCATATTTCTATATGTATAATCTGGTGCTTCATTGTAGATGAATGGCTCCGACCCATATTCAACTTGACTAGTGACTATCGAACTCTCACTAAGGAGGAACGTAAACAGCTAGATTATGAACATTTACCTAAGCGGAGAAATATCGAGTAAGTTCTATTTCCATGGTCATATTGTTGAGTGTGCGTACTAAGAAACCGTAAAGTGACGCTGTTAACATTCACATTTTGTGTTACAAATATTTTTTTCACTTTAGAGCATTTTTCATTGATCCTCTATGTAATAATAGTCTCTATTTGGTGCAAAAGTTTGTATGTAAGTTGCATAGAAGAGTTAGTTCATAGTTTAAAACTTAGCTTTCAACCAATAGGTTATAGGTTAAAATCCAACTTCATTAACTTCTGTTTAATTAACCGGATGATATTAGCAAGCCTCACATAAGAACAAAGTGTTGTTGAGAACCGAATGTGTAAACTTCTACTTAGTAAGTAAGTAACAGAACAGTGCGTAATGTGGAATTTAAATCCTGTGTTCACTATATCTTGATGTCAGTACTATTTAGATTAATTTATAATTATATAGTACAGAAATACTGACTACTATATAAACATATCGACCTGTTATTAGCAAATGAGATGACTTTATTTTCAGATTTATGAGTGAAATCCAAATGTTAAATTTAGAATTTATTTGATAGTTGATAATATTTATCTTCATTGATATTCAGAAACATTCACTTGTCTCGTTTAGCTATCTTCTGACCATAAAATAATGTATTTATTAAGTGTTGTCTTTCTGTAATATAATTTTATAAAAACCATTTATCAGGTCCTGTTTTATTCAGCAACTAAAAACGTCAAATAAATAGTCAAAACAGTATTACCATTTTGATGGAGTTTTGTTCTTTGAGCTGGATGGTTTGGTCGTGGAGCTTTCATCGTTCTTCTGAACAACATCATCAGCACAAACTTCAGATAGAAGTGAAGTGTTCGAATTTCTCCATATGCGTTTCACAGCTTGTTCTGTACACCAATCAACATCGAGGTGTACAGAACAAGCTGTGAAACGCATATGGAGAAATTCGAACACTTCACTTCTATCTGAAGTTTGTGCTGATGATGTTGTTCAGAAGAACGATGAAAGCTCCACGACCAAACCATCCAGCTCAAAGAACAAAACTCCATCAAAATCATCTACCTGAGCTACAAATCTTCACCATTTCAAAAGTATTGCCATTCATAGTATGCCTTGCGAATTGATGCTAATGATAAAAATGTCCACTATTTCAGATGTCATGCAGATTCAAATACTTATATTACGTGTCTTATCGTATTACACGAATTGAAGATTACATTGTATAATCTTATTTACGAGTTTTGTCTGTATCTAGTTTTCTCATAGCAGAGTTTAAAAAATTGGATTTTGATATTTTGATCATAGGACACATGGTCCTCTATCTGTTTTTTATTTTCTTTAAAATGAATTATGCAGAATTTAGGTCTCTAATATATATTAGCATTGATTTTTAAGAAGATATTCCTCAAAAGCTTAGAACTATAATTGCACTGATTGTTTGTTCTATCGTTGGTTATGATGGAAAAATGATTATTTCGGTAGGTCAAGTTTTCGATTAAAATGAATTTTAATTTTATATATTGTCTTTGTTTAAAACATTAAATACTGTAGAATATTAAACTTCACTTGACTTACTTAATTACAGCAACGAGGCCTACAACCATCGCGACATTAACCGAGAATTGGATGGTGAAGCCAAAGGGTAAGAAGAATTTCTCATTGGTATTGTTGGTATTATCATTTCTATACCACTACATTTTGCCTTTACTCAATTATATTTCAAATCATTCGTTCTAAAACCGTAAAGATCACTTCTAGTTTTTTTTTTGATTTAGCAAAAATTACTTATATTGTTGGTAAGCGGCAGTATTCATTAAGCTTGTATTTATTATTTACTTATTTAAACACATGAATATTGGTACAAGGAGGAAGCGAATAGATATGCGCCACATAAATCATTCGATTTATGTGATGGCTGGGATACTGCCCAAGTGCCCAAACAGAAACAGGTGGTTTTCTTAGGGGTTCACATCCCGAGCCTTTGACCTAAAGGTTTAATCCACAAGTTGGTGGAGCAGCGCCATGGTAACCGGTAACCAACAATGGGTTCATACACCATTTGTTTCTTTAGGATTCTGGAGCCCATGTAAGCTATTGATTTGGAATCAGGGTTTTCCAACTCCTCTAGATGGATCCTCCGTATCCACCATTAACCGTGTAAAACCAATCTTTTTTTCTGGCAACATCATTTTGACTCGTAATTATCGATTAACTAAGTAATCTTGTATGTTCATCAAATTCTTTGATTCATCAGTGTTGCTATCTTAGTAGTCTTGTGGGATAATCGTCTACAATCTTTGCACCGTTCAGATAAACAAATGCTAAAAAGCTCCAAAATTTGTTATAAGTAGGAACACAACACCGAACTTACCATGAATTCATTACAGTTCTGTTCAGAAATTAAATTGCAATACGTCCAAATACTAAACAGGGTAAATAAGACCAATAATGCTCAAAGTATTGGTCAAAATAATATGAAACAAATAAATCAAAAGTAATGCATGGATGTGTCAAGTGAAAAAATAACTGAATGATGTAAATACTACTCAGTAATAGCAAGTAATTTAATACAATATAAACACGGCATCATGTAAAACTGGTGATTCAAGTACACATCATGAGAAATAGGAATCAATCCATTGACATCTTCGTCGTTCATTATTTAAAGCACGTAACCAAACATGAGGAATTGTCTGGTAAAAACTGATTGCTTTCAATTTCACTGAGTAATTTACAGTTCAAGTCTAAAATCAAAATCTGTTATTTAAGCCTCACATACTTTCAATGGCTTTTTGATTGTATCATAGCGTTCTTTAGTTATTTGCCATCTTCTAAAAGTATGATTATATTTACCGTATTTGATGCTGTAGGTCAGGTGCTTTAATGGTTAAAGGGAAGTTGATGTCTCCGTTTCACTTCAATTTGGGCACAAAATATGACTCAAAGTTGAGTGTACGAATCTGTAATTCTTCAATGAGTGATATCACCATAACTGGTGTACGTTGTGTTGGAAGTAGAATGGTGGGTAATTCGAGTTTATCAAGAATAAAAACAATATAGAATAGTACTAACAAAGAATTCCCAAATAGAAATGGGAGGATAATTATCCCCTGACTACAACTAATCAATAATTTGAAACATATTACACATGGATAAAGAACGTGAAAATGAATTTATAACCTTGATGTTAAGTTACTTTGGTTTATAAATTGATATATACAACAAGAAGGGAAAGGGGTTTTATCTCATAGGTCATTTGGATAACTTTTTGTCCAAAGGTTCAGAAAACCTGATAACTGATCTGAAAATTTGCTCTTTATGATGAGTATGAAGAATTAAAATCGCCCCTTTGGTGATTGTACTTGGTAAATTTATTTATACAAGGACCTTGTATACTTGATTTATGATATACGCATATAAGACCTCTTTACTATGGTCATATTTTTAGTATCAATTTTGGGAATTTGTGGAGATTGTAGTATTTTCAATGTTGAATTCACGAGTCAATTTAAGCTAGACCATCATTGGAAACCTAAAAGCTTTGGACGGCCGTTTCGTATCAATATGGAACTCCACAGCAATGCACATCCAAGATCCCTCACTCGAGACTGGAACCCAGTACCTTCGGTCTCAGTGACCAGTGGAGTCCAATCCATGTCGGGTGTGAGACAGTTATCCACCTCAGACAATGGATGAAGGGTTGCGCAAAATTATGAATCGATCGGAGTTAGACATTAACGTCGTTGGACTCCGGTTCAGTGGTCTAGAGGTTATGCGTTCGCGCGAGAGACCGAAGGTCCTTGGTTCGAGTCCCGCGTGTGGGATCGTGAGTGCACACTGCTGAAAATTCCTATACTAGAACGAAACGGTCGTCCAAAGCTTCTAGGTTTTCAATAGTAGTCTAACATTGATCCATTCATTATCTCAATTAAAACTCAACAATCTCCACAACCCTATATTGATAAAGAAAGATCTATTTTTGATGAATCAGTAATAACCCTACACAAAATCTACATTACACTGACTAAAAAAGCTTTAAGCCTGATTACAATAAAATAATACAACGATACTAAAGATCAGAATAAATTGCTAACTACACATTTCCAATCCTAGTCGTACGGTAAAGAATAGTGCAGATAATAATCACTCATTTTGATAGCGAAGATTATTCGTTGTATCTTCTGTAGTTCACATTTATTTCTGCTTATGTATGATACTCTAAAATTCTTAATTAGTTTTAAAGAGGTCGTATTTGTGAAAAGTTCTGATCAGTGTTCACTTAATGGTAATTACTATCTTTAATTGTTCTATACTTTATCATCTAAAATATTATCTGTCAAATCGTTATTAGTAGCCCTGTACTTATCTCGGAATTGTCTAACCTTTTTACTGCCAATTATCTTGTTTTTTTAATATCTTTAAAACTAACCTTATTTTCGGTAAATATTTCTGATTTATTGTTATATGATTATAGACTTTTGAGGCCTGGTGATCCTGGATGGGTTAATAGGGCTCGAGTTCCTCAACCGTCAAATAAAGATTATATTATCCGACCCAAATGGCGTGTTCGGGAGAATGCTACTGGGGATGATAATGACGAAGAGGGAAATGATGATCAGACAGAACAATCTCAGTCACTTTCTCGAAAGCATCGAAAAACACGAACATCTGGTTTTGGAGCTACATCACGAATTGAAAGTCACATTCGAAATTTAAGTAATAGTGCTCGTAAAAGTCATGCCAAAGCTGCTCGAGCGGTTCCAATGAGTATTGAAGGTCGTAATATGTCATTGTGATTAGTATTTACTATCAAATGTTCTTATTTTAATTATTAACTTCCTTTAATTATTCTGCATCTTACTGTACAGTATATTTGTGTATTTTTCCTTACTTGTCTCATGATATAAAAATTTGAGCTAGTTTCCGTTTGTACACTATGTTATGAAATAAGCTGGAAATACCATGTTCATTGTTTTTATTTTCAAATATTTTCCATTATGAACATTGGAAATATAGAGAAATATTGTTTTCTTTACAAAACACTACATATTTCCCATACAAGATTCATGAATTTATTATTGTACGTTGGTGTATATTCAGTTGCAGGGGATACAAAGTTTCTGATCGTTTTTTCTTCCTATTTGTTTATTTTATTATCATACAATGAAAGCTTTTGTAGGCACCGTCGTTTAAAACTTTATTTGTATCTAAAACCTATATACACTATATGAGAAGGATTAATTAAATCACTGATAATGATAATATCACTCATCACAGTGTCCCCATTATATGTAAAAAATAAATTAAGTTTATTTAGATATAATGGTAAGCATTTTGAAGATAACTTTGTTAAAGATAAATTTGTTCTTCAAGGCGTTTGCTCTTATGATATATGTGATAGCTGACCTATTAATATCGTACTATGAGCTTATGTAGCTTCTGCCTACATAAAGGGAGCCCAGTTAGAGAAAAAGATCTTAAAGGACCTCAGTTATAAATGAATAATGACGAATAATTGGAAATGGTCGTATCAATTAAAATTTGACATTGAAAGGTTTTGTTTTGTGAAATTTCGATCCTTTCTACAACATAGTCTGGATGATTTTACTGGTTAAATCTATAATACCGTCCCACTAGTCGGTAAACGTTTTCTTCATTACAGTTTTAACTTGTTGAAACAATTTGTATTTTCTGTTGTCTTGTGATATTAATATGACTCAGTGACGCCAAAAGTACTAATGATAGTGATGATTGCACTCATCTTAGATCTGTGCGTCATCAGTCCAAATGTATATTTCTTCTGTCATACTAATCCAGACAATCATATCAGTCAGATGAATAAAAACAACAACATAGGATTTCTGTTAACTGTGTACTGTAGCAAATATGTCATCAAGTTATATCTAAAAGTAATCAGTATATAATCCCTTTCCTTGCAATATAGTAGATGTATGATAGGATTTTCAATCATATCGTGGATTATGAGTGCGCTTTTGATATGCTTTGATAACTAGTCATCAGTATGTGTTATAAGCTTTTCATGCAATGTACATAAGGTATACAAGATAAAAACAATTCCTTTTGTAAAAACAACAACAATCCCTGTTGTATTAAATGTAATTAATGAATGTATATAACAATAGCACAAGGTTCACATAAAAGGTGACTGGATTACACTATTGAGGATTAATCATACCGATGTACTTGGATATTTCTAAAAATCTTCACTGCAGCATACTGAATATAAAATATCTCAAACGGAAGCCTTTATACGCTTTTAGTATGACGGGATGGGAAGCCAAAATTACGTTTTGAACTCATTATGACACTTTTTCAACACCACTTCCGTTTTTAATTCAATACGCTGGTCATCAACTGTAGTATTTGTTTTACTTACGGTGTGCTATTTTACCATAAATCGCTTTACTTCAGTGTGTTGGTTATTTAAGATACAATGTTTTTGTATTAAATTAATATGAACTATGTTCAGCATGACATGCAGCATGTGATTTTTCATATATGTGATTTTATTCTAATGAATAATCAAAGTGAATACACAATCAATGTATAAATGATTGTATTTTCGACTAGGGTCATCGCTTTTCAGAGTTAATAAATTTTCACTTGTATTAGTCTCAGTGTTCTTACTTTGTATCGTGGGAATTATAGTGGAATCTCATTTTTCAAAAATAAGTATTGGGCGACATGGACATAACAACTTTACAGCCAAGTTACAATTTTTGCTATCCACTAAATGGATTATTTTTTTACGCCTGTTGCCCGTCGTAGAACATAGGTCCTTAGACAGAAATTTGCAATCGACTCTGCCCTTACTTTTCCTTCTCAATTATTGCCAATTGCTATTCGTTCTTTTGATGTCTGCCGCTAATTCCCAGGTTAATGCTTTTCTTGGTCTCTTTTACTTTAGCCTTCAGGATTCCAAACTAGGGCTTTCCTTGCTATTCATTTTGATGATTTCCGGAAAGTGATCTATCCACTAGATATTTATAATATTATTCCTGTAGGGGAGATTTAGTGAGTTGGAATAGAATGGAATGACTAGGTTGAGCAATTTAGATGCATGTGACAGTGCCAGTTCGTTTAACAAAGTTTGATAAAATATCTTACACTATGGGACAGTTAACGAATTCATTGCTTTGGTGTTTTAGTCATATTAGTCTAAACAGAATTCCTGTGTACCATGAAGCCTTTTCCAATACTTTACTGCATGGGATAAACGCTTCGTGAAGTCTTCACATTTGATTGAGTAAACTCAACAATTTCTAATCAAAACGCACTTTAATATGAAAATCACGGTAAAACAGCTCTAGAATAACCGAATAAATGCCAGGTGTAGTACTATGATGAGAACATAAATTTGATCGACCTAATATTTACAGTCGGTGGATTCTTAGAAAAAGTCTCTTATTTTATTCGATAATCTAAAAAAGATATACAATAGTGCATATTTGAAAGTTAATCCGATTGATCTAACAAAATCCTAGCCAATAAAGAGTCATTATGTTCTTTCCTACTTAATTAATTATTAAGTAGCCAGTGAGTGAAGAAAAAATTACGCAGTTGGAAATTCGTTGCTTAGTCACAAAATCTTGGAGCTAACTTTTGGGGTAATTATTACTCATCACTATAACCTAAGTCATATTTGATGGGACATGTAGTTTTCCGAATACTAGATATTTCATTAATGCTTATTCCATTCCAAATTGCCTCCATATATTTAGGCCATGTCTGGCCACTTGTAGGATTTGATTAATTCCATTATTCTTCTACTGGGCTGTAACCGTCATCATGTGGTCCTGCCTTTCGTGCTGATTGAAGTTTACCGACTGAAATCCTTTTGAATCTAATTTTTAAACAAAGTAATGAACGGAAGTGTTTTTTAAGAAGCTCTCTTAAGATTTTAACGTAATTCTGGTATACCACTAAAAACCAGGAAACAATGGACAGTTATTTCGTCCCACTTTAAGACTCCTAATTCCAATGATTAAGATCATGAATCAGTTGAAGCCAGCCCACCATGGAAAACCTGGAAGCACTGGACGGCCGTTTCGTCCTATTATGGGGCTCCTCAGCAGTGCGCATCCACGACCTCGCCCCACCGCGAGATTCGGACCCAGGACCTACTGGTTTCGCGCGCGAGCACTTAACCACTAGACCACTGAGCCGGCATCCAATGGTGTTAATGTCTAACTCCTAATTTATGTATAATCACCTAACCACATTGAAATACAGCTTTTATTTCTCAGTGTAATCAAACCACCACCCAGTCAATTATTTGGAATTCAACTCTCTTTATCATTTAGTCTTCTATAAAACATGATTCTCATTTAAGTTTAATGGGTCTTTTTATGTAGAGTTACTAATAACAAATGAAGCTCCACCTATATGTGTAATCAATAAGTGGATGAACTTTCCGCTAATTGTGAAACTTATAATGTTGGTAAGATAAATTGTTGAGGTTTTTGAATGTTTCGATTACTTATATATGTTAACTTGATTCAGTCAGCGGTTCTATTGCTAACAATTTGTAGGTGTATAGTGTAACGCAAGTTTATTTGTTATGTAATTTCCTGAAGCTTTTACATACACCTATAAGATTACCTGTATTTACCAATACAATTCTTTCCTCTAAACTCCTATGAAAATTATTCTCAGTTCTTTTTACATTCATTGGATCATTGTTTGAACTCGACAGTTCTCAGATTTGTGAGCTCCTTAGTTCTCAGTTTGGCTGTTGATAAACTGTTGTTAACATTCGATGCAATTATCTGCCGTCATTTAAGTTATGGTATGTTGTAATTACGCTACATGTTACTATTACAAGAAGCCTTTCTATTTCCAGATATACAGACGCGTTAATTACTCCAGATACCCCACGAGTTGAGAGTATGACCAATTTATATATGTGCTCCTCAAATAAAAAAACAGTTCTTTAGACAAATCGTTGTGCTCTTGAACTATGGTTTCACGCGTATATCAATCGTGTAGTTGGACGCCTCGATAGTACTAACAGTGATTTTCATCAACAAGATTCAACTCAATAACAACTGCGTGATTTCCCATCGAAACGTAACATTAATTTCAATATATTTTGAGGTGAAACTCAATCACATATATCACTATGTCTGAACAGTTTCTTTCTATAACATTAGGTGTACCTTGGTTGAATAACTGTGATTTACCTTCAAACATTGTCAACAAGAGGAATATGATGAGAACGTTGTGAGTCAAACACCATATTTAGTGTGAAAAATTTCTATCAAGTTAATATCAGATCAACAGTGAAATATCGAATCTGTATTACTTTGTAGTTTAAGTAACTGTTAACATCACATACTTTGATGATGATGATGATGATGATTTGGATGATGATGATGATGATGATGATGATGATGATGATGATGATGATGATGATGATGATGATGATGATGATGATGATGATGATGATGATGATGATGATGATGATGATGATGATGATGATGATGATGATGATGATGATGATGATGATGATGATGATGATGATGATGATGATGATGATGATGATGATGATGATGATGATGATGATGATGATGATGATGATGATGATGATGATGATAGAGTAAGCAGAGTGAATATCACTGGAGTATGGGTTTTATGGAGGAAAATATTTTAGTGATTTTAATATAATTAAATCACATGTGTATTTGGGAAGTGATAGTGTGCCTCGAAAAATGATATGATTTAGATGTAAATTGTAGGGGAGAATGATGTTGGTAATTCTTTGCAACGAAATCGAGGTAAATATATTTAAAAATGATACCCTATCAACTGCAAAAAGAATTGCAGATACCTTAGTTATGCGATATGTAGTGTTAACATCCATACATGATTTAACAGCTGAATTAATAAATTTTGAATCTTACTGACCAAGTTCCCAGAGTAAATGTCGAATTTCATTAGGTTTACGTTGTGTAAAACACAAACTTTATTTGATCTTCTGAAAATAACTACAACAATACACAGATAAAGTTGAACGTTTAGTTTTTAATTTTGTACAGAATATCCATCTTTTTAAAAATTCCACTTCCCTTATAATAACGTTCATTAATATATCAGTAGTAAAACAGTTAAGTATTTTGGTAATTTATGTACGAAAATTAACCATTTCCATGAAGAACGTGAAAACTGGAAATAAGAATAAGTGGATTCCTTCAATTCATCTCAATCATCTAGACTTTCTATCGTTCTTATCGACTAAATATGCCGTTCATTATTTTCAGTACTTCTGTTATCATAATTTTTGAACCCTCTGGTAATATTTTACTTAACTTGTACTTTAATATCATCCCACTTCAGTCATTTTCAAAATTGTTTTTATAGTTACCCCTAAAGCCTACGATAAAATAAAAGAAACTTATTTTTGTAATAAGTATTCACTTCATTTGTTTTGATAAAACAATTTTTTCAGAATCTCCAATAGAAATATGTTATGTCCTAATCACTTTGATAAAACAGGCTACTATTGGGTATGAGGTATATAAATTATTATTATTATTGCATGAAAATCAATAATTGATTTCTTTATTGTATATAAAATTCAACCTATGCTGTTACTATATATCAATAAAAGTTAAAAGGTAAATTTAACCCCGTTTTGATATGTTGACTTGATTTTTATCTACTTTATAAACAATCAACCATAGTGTTGTATAGACTGTAAAAATGACAGTGAAACAATAATTTTTGATAGCATTCTTTCATGAAACGGCTGAAATAATAAAGGAAACTTTAAAATACTATCATACTGATTTCAATCCCTCCCCCCCCACAAACATAAAAACGCAAAATGTGTTAATCAAACACGAGTTAAAAGAAAACATCTATCTTAAAAGTGAACCTACAACATCATGAAATTGAATTTAAATTACTGTAATTTGTTGTCTACATATATGTAGTTGGGAATAATAATGCTGCTTTATGTCACTCAGATATCATTTCATTTTTCTTATTAATATATTCTCTGAATAACTATCTACATATATGGAGTTTCATGCTGTAGTGTAGTACACTTTACTGTATCTAAATCATGGCTTGAATATCTTTACATTACTTACACCCACGTATATATATATATATATATATATATATATATATATATATATATATATATATATATATATATATATATATATATATATATATATATATATAGGTCATAATACAACAAACGGTTATTCCACTTTTTATCTTTGAATGTCCATAACATATAGTACTGAACAGAATCATATTTCACTAAATAATACTGTTAGTTAACAGACATTAATATATGTGTATGATATATTTTTTACGGTCAAATTAACTGGCCAATAAATTTTGTAGAAAGTGCGAAACCGAAAAAAAACACATTACTTTCAAGTATGATATCACGAATAATAATCAAGTTTGATAATTAGGCCTTCCATCTATTCCATAGATTCGTGAATGACCTAAATAATCCGTTTGTAATACCCATATATATATATATATATATATATATATATATATATATATATATATATATATATATGTTGAAAATCAGTTCTAATCATGTTTGTGTTTTACAATATATATATAATTTTCTATTCGAAATGAG